ACGTGAGGAGAGGGTCTGCAGGGTTACAGGAGGACTCACTTTTAAGCTGTCTATGACACAGAAGTGCCCTGGGGACCTTGTGCCCCCCGGATGACCGAGGGCTCGGTCACACCTGGCCCATGGGAAGGTGCCGTCCTCAGCTGGCGTGGAGGGGACCCGGAGGGGCCCGGGGGGACTGCCTGTGTGGGGCTGGGAGCACTCTGTGTGGAGCTTGGCAGAACTTGGCAGGCAGGGGGGGGCAAAGCCCCTGCTCGTGAGCACAGACCTGGGGCTGCTGTGAGAGCTGCTCCTCCTGCCTTTGCTGGCCAACAAAGCAGCTTGTTTTCCTCCTCAACGTGGCTCCCCTCACAGTGCAGCCCCCCACTTCCCACTGGGCCATCCTGGGTGAAGGGAGCTGGCCCATCACACCAGGAATGGGGCCTGCGATCCCTGTGTGCCCCACAGCCATCCCAGCACCCCCCCACCCACCAAGCAGTGGGTAGGTGCCTTTCCCCTCTAAGTTCAGACTGATCACCCGGCTACCCCCTGTCTCCCACCCCTCTCCAAGCCCTCTGCTCAGACATGCCCCTTCTCCTTCCAGCCTCCCCCAGCTTTGGCAAAGGGCACTCACCTCCAGCCACCTGCTCCCACTTGGGTGGCAACCAGAGCCATTAGAGCTGCTGACCAGCACCTGCAGTCTGGGTGCTGATCAGATAAATTGGCCAAAGTGAGCTGAGTTTGTGAGCAGGGCTGGTGCTGTTTGGGCCCAGGATCTGGTGTGTGCTGCCATGGAGCCTAAGCTGGGTAAGGTGCTTGTTGAGTGCCATGGGGCTGGAGCTCTGCTCAGGATTTGGTGGCTACGGTCCATGTAAGGCCACAGGCATGAGCAGGGTCATGGCTGCTAATCATGAGAAGTGGCTGAGGGAGCTGGGGGTTCTTCAGCCTGCAGCTGAGGAGGGGCCTGGGAGACCTTCTGGCTCTTGAGAACTCCCTGACAGGAGGCTGGAGCCAGGTGGGGCCTTAGCTTCCCAGGAACAACTGACAGGAGAAGAGGAAACAGCCTCAAGTTGCACCAGGGGAGGTTTATGCTGGACATGAGGAGAAATTTCTTCCCTGGAAAGGTTGCCAAGCCTTGGAATGGGCTGGCCATGGCAGTGGTAGAGCCCTCATCCTTGGGATGGTGGTGGTGGTGGTGGGGTTTTCAAAGCTGTGGAGATGTGGTGCTGAAGGACATAGTTTAGTGATGCCCTGGCAGTGCTGGGTTAATGGTTGAACTTGATGATCTTAAAGGTCTCTGCCAACCCAAATGATTCTGTGATACTATGCTCAGCTCCTGGGGGGGCTCTGCAGCCCTTGGCGAGTGCAAGTGCCTTGGGGTGAGGCCTGGGTCCCAAGAGATGCCTCTTGCCTCTCCCAGCATCAGAAGCTGCTGGTGCATCCCAGCTGCCAGGTCTGCTGGCCCGGCGCTACCATCGCCCGCACCCCCCGACCCTGACCATGGTCATCGAAGCCGTGCGGGCCCAGGACCAGAAGAAGGGGGTCTCCGTCATCGCCATCAAACGGTTCATCCTGGGCAAGTACCCCTCCGTGAACCCCATCCACCTCAAGTACCTGCTGAAGCAGGCGCTGAGCAAGGGGCTGAGCCGCGGGGACCTGGTGCGGCCCCGCAACTCCTCTGCCACGGGGGCCACCGGCCGCTTCAAGGTGAGCGGGGGCTGCCAGCCCCCGGGGGGTGGGGTGGGGAGCTGAGGCACTGCTCAGCCCTGCTTCCACCCCTCTCCCATCCTCAGTTAGCCCCCAAGAAGCTGCAGCAGAAGCCACTGCCGGGCCAGGCGGATCCTGACAGAGGACAAGCCCTGCAGCCGGCACAGAAGAGGACCACCAAGCTCCCCAAGGCCCCTGCAGAGGGTGGACAGCAGCGAGGTAAAGGGCTGGTGGTCTCATGGGACACTCTGGGCAGCCCTGGCCCCATGGAGGGGCCACTATGTGTGCTTGTCCACCACCCCCTCTCCCACAGGTGCCAAGGAGGAGAAGCTGACAGCAGTGAAGAAGCCAAAGGCAAAGCTTGTGGATGTGAGTGGGGGCCAGTGGTGGGGCTGCGTGGCTCATAGTGTGGCATGTCCAAAGAGCTACAAAGCTGGGGAAGGGTCTGGAGCCCACGTGTGGGGAGGAGCAGCTGAGGGAGCTGAGGGTGCTGAGCCTCGAGCCAG